CCCCCCCCCCCCCCCCCGCCGACGACACCGCTCCCGACACCGTCAGCTGCGAGAACATGAACAAAAGAGAAGGACGAACGTTAAAAAAGAAAATCTAAGTAAGGTTGAGAAAAAAAAACGGGAAGAAAAAAAAATTGCGCGAGGGAGGTCCAAGAGTACAAAAAGACTGAACACGCGAGACGTACGCGCGAGTAATAAGATTATCAAGATGTTATTTTGATACGTTCCGCGATACTGATATTACCTTCAACGAGCGTGGACGAATGCTTTTAATCCGATTGGTCACGATATGATCGTAGTCGGAAGAGCGCTTTATCAATTGAACTGGAAAATGTAACCGCTTTTTCTTGAGCGTCTCCGGTCAAGCGAACGCTTGGCACTACATCGTACCGCTTCAAAGTTCCCTTAAAATTCGTAAAGTTGACTGAAATTTGCTACAAGACTCGAATCACTTTAAAGTCATATATTGATATTTTCTATACAGTATTCCGGATTCATAGAAATTCGATTGTGTGTTATCACATATACAAGTCCCTGCGTATTTTCGTCGAAAAATATTTCATTAAATAATAACACGCAAGTCTACACACGCAACATGTTTGCTTAGCGTACCTTATTGTCGTCATTACTTGTACAATTATATGTTACAGTGGTTTAATATGTAGGTCGTAATCAACATTTTTTTTCGCGTTGGAAGCTAGAAATTAAAATCTGCTCTCTGTTCTGATCTACAGAAAATATTATTTCTAAAAGGATGATATATCAATGGTCGAACACGGATGACGAATGTGTTCGCGCTATCGCAGTGCAAATGTTATATTAAGGGATGCCTGATGTATTATAAGCGTCCCTAACGGATCTTCATTAGTCTCCTAACTGCCACTTGGCGGACTCTCCTTACCTTGAGATCGATGGCACCTGGTCGGACAATTCTCGCATGATAGTCCGCGCTCGGCACGGAAACGAATCGATTTACGATTACACGCACACACATCCATACACGCTGTTTGTACATTATTATATAAGCGACATATAGAGGTCGTTTCCATTTCTGCTTGGAGGGAGAATACTACTCAAACGAAATGACCGATGCTCCGCGACTTGTTAAGAATCATATCGGGCCATATTCGCCGATGAATTCTGTCGACCTTGAATCAATGTCCGCGAATGCGCGGTTTCGAGGTAAATCGCTTGTCGAAATTAATGCAAGATAGTTCCTCGCTAGCACCTAGCCGCGCACTGTTTAGTAATGTAGGCTGTGTACTGACCGAAAACCGAGTCGTTGTCGAGCAACGTGCGGTTCAGCTCCGTCATCTCCGTACTATGCGATGTCACCGATGGCGCCTCGTAGCGCCTCGGGGGCTTCACGACCGGGTTAATGGTCGTAATCAGGGATTTCTCCTGTTCACCGAGACCGTGGTGCTCCAGGGACGCCGCTTCGAGGCCTTTCTCGTCATGCCTGGTGTGGCGACGACGACAGTAGCACACGCAGAGCACTACTGTGACGATCAACAGACATAACGCGGTGACACCTAGTCCGATAGCGAGAGGCAGGCTGATGAAGTTCTCTCTGCCGCCTAGAGCATCGCCTATTATGGACAAAGTCACGTTTTTCTCCGCTTCGCCGCCCGGACTCTTCGCGCGGCAAATGTAGTCACCTTTGTCGGCAGGCTGCGCATCGATGATAGTGAGATTTAACCAATCATGATTCATCAACAGTAAGTATTCTTTATCGTTCGCGTGTTTGCTGCTGTTGGTTACAAGGCGATTACGATACGTCCATGATAACTGAAATAGACATGTAATGTGAGGTTTCATAGTGCGGCAGTAGAAAAAAGTGCATTAGTAAAGAAATTTTTATGTATATTGAATACAAAAATTCTCTTATAAAATGGCAAGATTAATATTAAATCGCATTTCTTTTCGCTATAAACTTAAGATCAGGAATTTATTTGATTTTAACTTATAAAATACTATTATCGAGTGTGCCTGAAAATACATTTACCTCAGGACGTGGAATTCCCATTGCCCTGCACGATATTGTCACATCTCCTTTGGCTGCCTCGATTTTATACGACGGCTCGATACTGGTGATCTTCGGTCTGCACGCGAAATCGTCACTACTAACTTCGTCCCACATCTTGCCAATCATGTGGGGCGGTTGCTGGCAAGCGGTTGGCTGTGTGTATAACTTGCGCTGGATCGCCCAATCGCGGAACTTTTTGAGGTGGCAGTTGCAGTTCCATGGATTATTCTGGAGCTCGAGACTGCCGAGCTTGGGCAGACTCTCAAAGCTTTGCAGTTGCAGGGTGCTGAAATTATTCCCATCCAACGCGAGGGAATGCAAGTTTGGCAAATTGCGAAACGCCTGCTCCTCGATGTGTTCCAATTTATTGTCTGACAACGTGACTTTCTGCAGGAAGGTGAGATTGAAGAACAGACCGTTATCCAGGGTTTTCAAATTGTTCTGATCGAGTAGCAGCACTCGCAACTTTTGGGTTTCGTAAAAGATACTTGGATGCAGATTGCGGATATTATTGCCCGACAGATCGATCTCGATGATGATTTTCAAGTCGCTGAAAGCGTCCCTGTTAATCGACTCGATGCCGCAACTGCGTAACGACAGCTTATGCAGATTAACCAGATTGACGCGACTGAACGCATCGCGTACGAGATGAGTTATGCGATTGCCGGTCAAGTCGAGACTCTGGATCTCGGGCGAGAGGTCTCCCGGCACCTGCGTGAGGTTCTGCTTAATGCACTCGGCGGTCTTCTTACCGGACACCCATTTGCACTTGCACGTCGACGAGCACTGCATCCAGTCCTCCTGGCCTTGACACAGGGCAACCGTAAGCGCCACACAAAGCAGCCACCGGCTCGCCGTTCTCGGTATCATCTCGAGGAATCCTGTTAACAGCAGAAACGTGCGCGATGACGTTAGAACGTGACTGTGGTACTGTGACCGCAGAACTTACTTAGCCGAGCGTAGTTGCATGCATGTGAAAGCGGAGTTTCGTCTTTTGGGATATTCCGTCGGAGAGAAATATGCAACATGTAACTAACGTATTCCAGTTACCATTTAATATTTACCAACGCGGGCAACTAGCTACGCGTTTTACCTACATTCACTATTATTGATAGTTGAACGCGGATGTGGATCATTGTTTAATTACACGATCGAATAATCATATTACGTACACGCGGCCGGAATTAATTGTTACTAAATAATACGCGGCGCTTAATAATTTTGAATAATTTGTATGTCATACAAATATCCCATACGCTATTTGACACTTTTAGTTAATGCACGTTGAGGTAATTGTGCATGACTGTCACAATCAACAAATTACGCGATATACGATTTCGCAATAATAAATGCCGTCATGTAATTACATGTATATAAAATATACTTGTTTATCGTCTTCTCCACTTTAGCATTACTCTATTTAACCTTCTGCTAAAGATGTGCGAACTATTCGAATACGAATCGAATCGATTCATGTAAAATTTGATTCGATTTGAATTTGAATTACTATATATGATTTAAACACGAACTATTTGAACATTTCGAGTCCAATAGCGTTTTTCACTGGTAGAGCTGGTGCGCACTCAGTGCACTGTAAAGCCGTTGTGTACAAATCGACGTAAAGATGTACGTTTAATAAAAATGTAGAAACGAATTAAACCGCGAAATCCTCAACATATTTTATTGTGGTATTTGATAAAATATATATTAATTGAGATATCTCACTCTAACATTCAGATTAAGTTAGTGCACAACAGCTTTAATGTGCACTGAGTGCGCATCAGTTCTGCCAGTGAAAAACGCTATAAGAGATTTGAATAAGAATCACTGCTTACACCGAAAAAATTATATTCTTGAAAGATGTACTTAATACTTCCTCTTAACAGATATAAGAATGTTTCCTCTTAAATTAATAATATATTCTCGATTTGCGAAAGCGATCGTCGCCACACGTGCGCTACACGCTTCACACGGTTTTTGATGATGTCCCCCTTAAAACCATGCAACTTTTATCTGAAGCATTTTTCTCTAAAATGTATAGTTCAAGAGATATTTGAGATCATCGTTTAAATAGGACATCCTGTATATTCTCATATTAAGAATATACTAATTTTTAGATAATTACCCTCTTAAATTAAGAGGATCGTCTCAGCGCTTATTTTAGAGGAAAACATATTATACCTAAGTGGGATATTCTTAAATTAAGAATATAATTTTTTCATATATATTAACAGTGTTATATATTTACCACTATCTCTTACAACAGTACATGTCACTTGCGTGAACACACACACAGAGTAAAGTTATTTCGTGGCTCGCACAACGAGACTAGACTTTCCATGTTATCGAACAAGTCTTGCTATGTCTAAGGCAGTTTGGTGCCATCGGAGACCTCCGGGATTTTCTTCGTGTTTCCTCGGCCACTCTGTCTTCCTCCCCTCTTACATTCCCACGAGCCTGTCTTTTCTTTATTTTTGTTAGTCAACGCCACTAATCTCAAAGCAGGACGGAATACCCTGCTGAGAACTGTTGGCAATTTAGCTTAATACCATTACAGCATCGCGTTCTGCGACGCCGGCGTCGCATCGTGTCGTGTCGACGCGTCGCCGAAGTTAAATTAATACAGCACGACAACTAAAACAAGCTTCACCCCTGTTATTATCGCTGTGGAGTTCGAGATTGCGCATTATATTAGTTTTTCCGCCGATGGTGACAAGTACAATTCCGAACCTCTCTAGAGGTTGAAATTCGATAAGAATTTAAGTTACAACATCCCGATGAAAGAATCTATAAGTACATCTCGAAATGATTTATTAATTTATTAGAACGCGATTCTAATTTTGTGTATTTATCAAGTTATCTTATATATCTCGTTCCTCAAATTTCGTTTCTTGATCAATTTTATGCAGAGACTGCAAACTTTTTTTTATATATCGTCCTCTTACTTCAAAAATAGTACAAAAAAGGAGATTTTTTAGTTATTGTATGGAAAGAATAATTTTGTTAAAGTATCTAAAATTTTAAGTAAATATAGATTTACAAAACAAATTTGGATCATCAAAATAATTATGCAGAAAACGTAAGTATGATGAGCCATGCTGCAAAAAGTTTCGACATTCTAGCAATCAGCTTGAGCGTTCTACATAATTATTATGAAAGTCCAGTAAAATTATGTTTAAATTTAACTAATTTTTTAGATACTTCAACAAAACCATCATTTCAGAGAATCATGAATGAGGTAAGTAAATATTATCCAATAAAAAATGATTGATAATTAAATTTCACGAAAGTATTTGATAACTAAACTTAATTAATAACTTATAAACTTCATAAAAAATTATCAAAATCGTTACAATTAAAAAAAGTAATTTTTTTAAAAAGTCATAAAATGTTAACATGATAAAAATGACATTTGATTGCGTTAAGAATATCGTTTCTTTACTTCAAAAGTGACACAACTCATGCAATGTTATTTTCAAGTTATTATAAAGAATTAGGTAACGATCACTCTATTAATCACCAAAATTGAACTAACTTCACAGTTCATCAAATAGTACTTGTGTACTTCTTAAGGTTTGCAAAGAGATCGTAATACTTTCTACAAGAGTGACACACTTCGAGTTGTACCGCTTTGTAAATAAAAAGAGGCGAAATCTACAGAAAACATTTAAAGTTAAGTTTGGTGACCGAAGTTTAAGGAAGAAATTTTATTTTAAATCTAATTATTTTAATCGATCAAGGTAAATATAAATAAACTCTGTTGGTGATATTTCATAAGTTACGTCGCTCTTGAAAAATTATTCAGAATTTGTAGGATATTAAACTTGCTACAACTCAAAACATGACATAAGTGATTTCTTAAAGAATGAAACGGAAATGACATTTGATCATATTAAGAATTATGTAGTCCATGCCTATTCAATTTAAGCTCTGGAGTCAAAACGCAAAATTATCGACGCAAAAAAAAAATCGATATGGGTAAGATTTTGGAGACACGTCTGAGCGACGCTGCTTATCAACACTTTACAAGTCTATGAAATCTTACATTGAATTTTTTTGCGTCAATGGCTTTGCGTTTTGGCTCTAGAGCTCAAATTCAACAGGCCTGGTGTACTATTTTTGCTGGTTAATTTAAATCAATTGTCTGTCAAGTAGAAAAATAGTCTCTTATTCTGAGAAAGTCAATTTGTTTAGTTGTGTCACTTTTGAAGCAAGGAAGCGGTATATAAGCAGTCGAGCGAAATTGAAACATTCGCGAAGGACCGAACCGATTAAAAATTAAACTTTCAATACTAGAGAACCGTAGCGAGGATCGTCAGCGAATCACAATGCGCATAATAATTGAAATCGCGTAACTTGTACTTTTCGAAGCGTACAAAAGTAAACTATACGTCACTGTGGATTAACGTCGTGGGAAAACAAAGAGAAATTCGCCAAAGATCGCGGTCGGATTCCATCGGGAAAACCATTCCGGTGGGAACCATGCACGCTATAGTAGATTTCCGCCAACTTTTCTCGTACACATGCTCCACGACGTCGAAACTTTTTGAAGTCTTCGTCCGCAAGGACGCCTGCGGTTGCTACACTTTCCTATAGCCTCGAGATTTTATTGTTGTGGCCGCGACAGAGTAGTTCTTTCGAGCTCGATCGGTCTTGCCATGCGGTCAAAATACATACGTACTGAGAGTATTGTCCTTTAAAACTGCCATGCACGTTTCAGCCTTCTCTTTGCCCACGTGGCTTTAGATCTGAAGCTAAAACAGTGCTCTTTGAACCGTGGCATGCCGCTCGGCTTATGAGAGAGATACGAAGAGCGTTTTCTCTTCCATGAAATATATTCCGGAGGAAAGGCACGTACGCACAGAGAGAGTTAATATTGCACGGACAAAACGACAAGAGAAACGCTAAAAGATGATACTCGTGTGACATCGCGCATGCTTCGATTCGTACATCCGTCTCGCTGCGCCCGATGCGGCTTTACGGCGGCGGCCGGTGGTCCTGTTCCCTCGATCCTAGGATATCGATCGACCGCATTTGACTTGTAAATAACTAAACCAACGAGGATACGGGGAAAGTGAGGAGCTTGTATACGGACTGGAGCGGCCTTTTAGCCTGAATGAACGATGGACGAATGAGACGAGTGTCCTTTGGCCGGCGCGTGTATCGTGCCGGAAGGAACCTCCCACCAGTCGTGTCGTGGGATGCGGAAACGCAAAAGTTACTCAACGTGAACGTGTGCGTGTCTAGTATGTACATTCGCGTGCCACGCAGAAAAAAAAACATTAGACGCAGAAGAGAAAGAGAGATGGAGAAAAAGGAGAGAGAAAGCGAGAGAAAGAGAGAGAAGGGGGAGGGAGAGGGAGAGAAAGGGAGGGAAGAGTGTGGGCGGTCAACTTTCCGTAGGGCGGAATTTCAAATTCGAACACCCTCTATCAATCAAGAGCGTTCCGTTACCGGAGGGTACGGCAAGTATGCCCTGTTGCTCCTACACAAATTTCATCAATCATGCGAGCCAACATACCGGAGGCGGTGGTTATCCTGCCGGATCTCTCTGCCCGTCCTATATTTTCGCGTATGAAATAAGGTCTCGCGAAACACACCGAGCGACCGATGATTGGCGGATGTAACGATCGGTGCGACGAGTGGGTGGGCGGATATCGCGATGCTTATAAATGACTTTCGAAAGCAGTAGTTACGATGCAGCTTTCGCAGCGGAAGCTATGCGTAAATGTAGGATGTTTAAGAAGAAAGAAAGTAAAATGAACTCTCGTGGGACGGGCAAAGGAAAAGCGTCGCGCAAACTATGCCGAGGATTCTTTTTTTTTTTTTTTTCATCACGAAGCGATCGTGCAAGTAAGACACAGATTACTGTAAGTGATTC